CGTTTTGTCGACGAAAACGACTAAAGAGAGATTTCTGCTAAAGCTGTGTCAGCGAAACGGAAATTAAAAAGAATCGCCCTTCCTCTCTTGTATAGAGCTAACAGTACAGCAGGGAAATCCTTAACACACTGAATATTCTCTCAGAATCATTTATAATTTACAGTTTGAAAAGAGCAATTTCTGGTTTGATATTTATTCTTTTATTAGTCTTTTATTATTCAACAAAAATAACACTTGGTGTCCTATCATAATACTAATAATTTAACAAGTTCTAGAGCGCTATTTACATTCACTGATCAACAGCGCTTAACAACTTAAACAACCTACAATAAAATTCAAATTTGTAAAACTAATTACTTGTACATGAATATTACTTGCTACTTGCTTTATTGTACAAACGACCAGTTTCAATAGACCGGCGAAATTTCTCATTTTATTAAAGCACTGAGGTTACGATAACTTCGAGTTAAACTGATTTCACGGGTTTTCAAAGAGTCGAGCGATTCTCTTTTCCCAGGTGAGCGCCGACTCATTTCGCTTCAATATTCAGAAATGCTCTCGATCTCTTTACGCTTTCATTGCCTTTCGCCCGACATGTTTTGCATGGCGTTTAGTCATGCGAAACCTCCACGAAACACTCCACGCAGCGCGCGAGATAACTTTATCCCGATTCTAAAAATAACTCGAGACGAATTACCTATGGAATAGGGTGTGTATGGGGGATGCCTTCTCTGTCCCCTTTATCCTCTCTTCATTCTAGCTAACGGCTGTCTTAATTGCATTTCGATTGGCAGTACCAATCTGACTTTATAACAGTTTTAATAGAGTATCAGAAATATTTAAGATGCTCAATTTTGTTAGTTTGTCGTCATCTGTTGGATCAGTTTAATCATACCACGCATAAACATCGACACAGGCAGTACCGTAGTTATCCCCCCAGCCGCAACTGCTCAAGGCCTCACCATACCAGATGTGGAACTCATCCTGCCCAGGAGATACGGTTATTGGAGAGGGAAGCTTGTTAAACAATAGCTCGGCAGAATTGACGCCAACACCATCAATCTTATATGAATAAAATCTGCAACCATCAGATTCACCTCTGTATTGGGCAAGCGGAAGAGCTGTTTTGTTAGGGTATGTTTTGACAGTAACTAATGTTATACGAACTGTGTGGGCATCCCCAGTGGGAGGGTGAGATCAAGAAGCTACAGCTAACTCCTCCTCGGACGTGAACGAGTTTAAAGGAGTAGATGAGCCCTCCTTCTTGGATTTTAAATATCCCATTTGAGTGAGCTTTAAGTCTAGCTTTAAAGCAGATTGGACCAGTGGAACCAGTGTTGACTTTCTTCCAATTAACTGATAACAAAAGAAAATCAATTTCAATTGGGAATAGCTTTGCAAGAACAAGAAGGAAGAGTTGTGCGTTGTTAGACTTAAAGAATGAGAAATGAATAGAACTTTACAACAGATTATTAATCTGGAAATTGTGACGGGTTTTGCCGCAAATTCAGAAATAATTTAGCCGTCTTTATGATAGCTTAAAAAGAGAAGTGTCCTAGATTGACCAACTACGGCATCAACAGATTCAGGATAAAATACATCACTACCAGCCTCCCGGGCGTCCAACCTCGAAAAACTCTGCATAAACTAATAAATAAATAGTTCTTATCTTAGAATGCTTTAAAACTGAGGGAAAACATGGTATTATTAAAATTGATATTGATATTGATATTACCTTTGCAGCTGTCGCCGTCTTTAATATACCCGGGATAACAATCACAATGAAATGAACCATCCTCATTGACACATTTCGTGTCTTGCTTACAGTTGTGTAAATTCTCAGAGCATTCATCGATATCTGTTAGTTAAACGCAGAAAGAAAAAGAATCAGCGGATTCATTTGCGTACTCCTTAAGTTGTTGCCCGTGACCGTTATTTTTCTTAAGTTCAAAGACCATAAAAAAAGCTAGTGAGCATACGTGGCAGCTATACGCAAAATTCAGTTTCGTTCACGTTTTTACCGCCTATATCGTATAATACTCATGCTAACGTCGCCTATGGATATTAATGCGCTAACCATGAGCCCTTTGGTCCCGACAACAAAAGACTGTTTTGTTTCATAAAACAGTGCTTGTGAACAGTGATATCTCCTATTTAGTGGAAATCAACATTTTAAGAGCAGCGAAAAAATAAAAAGAAGAAAACATAAAAAAAAAACTGGTCGTTTAACGGGAAAAATGTTTAAAGATCTGGGGCCCGTTTCTCGAAGCTCCAAGTAATTACCGGGCCCGTTAAGCTGTTTTGTTTTCCATTTTAGAAGGGAGTTTTAAAAGTTTTGAAAATGATACAGTAGAGTTATTAGCTAACGAAACAAAATGGACTTCGTTAGAGGTCAGAACACACCCTACTTTTCTTGAGACTTTGATTTGAAAATATGATTCCGGGCCCGTTAAGTTACCTGGACTTTCGAGTAACGGGCCCCTGGTGCTGTAGCCAAACAAGGCGCAGTCACCGGTTATAGCAGTCTGCATTTCATCCGATTAATTCGAGTCGTTATTACTCCCTCAGTAACGTCTGAATCGACCGGTCTCAAACATATCTACAAGAGCGCGTGCTTTTGGAGTAAAAACTTATATCAAAACAATTTATCTACACCTAACTCAAATTTGTTTAGAGCATCCATGTAATTATTAAAACTAACATCCTCTCTTGATTGCTGTCAATACTAACCTTTGCAGACAGCACCGTCTTTAAAAAACCCAGGGTAGCAATCGCAACGAAATGAACCGTCTTCATTGACACACTGCATGCCTAGCTTGCAGTTATGCGATTCCTCAGAACATTCATCAATATCTGTTTATAAAAGAATAAGTAAAGAAAAAAATAGACAAAAAAACAGCCATTTAGTCGAAATTAATTTTTTGCCAAATAAGTTTTTTCCATCCACATTCGCCAACAGAATATGAATGACATTTGACGATGAAAGGTTTCAAAATAAAAGTGTAGAGGCGAGGCGTTAATCGTGCACAATTGTGCAGTCCTACTTTGTTTCTTATTCGTTGTGCGCCATTGCGTTCTTATCTTCTTTTCCTTTCCTTTTTTTTTTTTTGTTTTGGTTGGTTGTTGTTGTTATTGTTGTTGTTGTTTTTTTTCGGTGCTTATTGTTTTCTCTCAATCACTTACAGGTACATTATAAACTATTTAAAAAAAAAATAATAATAATATTTATTTCTTATATTGCGCAGTCTAGCATGCGATAAAGATATGATCGAGTGCGCATTACAACACTAAAATCTTAAAGTAATAAATGGCTAGTCCAAATAATGATAATAATAATAATAATTTACAATTTTCGGAAAACAACAAAAGTAAAATATGAGTTAATAAAAGAACTAATAAAAAGCTAATTTAAAAAGATGTGTCTTTAGTAAAACTTTAAAAATGTTCAATGATTGACATTGTCTAATTTCTAGAGGGAGTCGATTCCATACTTTGGGCGCAGCATTTTCAAACGCCCTATCCCCGAGTGTCTTTTTTGTTCTATAGGTATTGTCCATTAGGAGTATGCCCCGGTATGATCTCAACTGATACCGCGAGCTCTCTTTGATTTTTATCAAGTCTAAAAGATATTGTGGTGCGACGCCGTAGATACATTTGTGAACTAGCATTGCTATCTTGAATTCTATTCTGTGGGTAACCGGAAGCCAGTGCAGGTTGATCAGGGATGGTGTGATAGGATCATACCTAGATATAGTACATACCAGCCGAGCTGCCGCGTTCTGCAGGCGTTGCAGCTTACCAAGATGAACAGCGGGCGTACCATATAATAGACCGTTACAATAGTCTAATCGTGACATTATAATAGCCTGTACAATGGACTT